AACAAGTTTATTATTAATATTAAAAAAAATTCTGCCAAACTAAACTATAGCATTAATCAGATTTTTGTATACAAAAATTATTTATATATATATTTCTAAATTTTTAACCTATTCTTCTAACTGTACTACTGGTAGCCTTTAGGCCTAAATTCTATCTATTAATTTAAATAATTTGAACTGTTTCAAAACAAATATAGTATCTTAAAACTCAACACGAATTTTTAATATCAAGCTCCGAAAATAAAACAGGCTCTATAAAAAAAGAAAAATCTAATAAAAAATCCAATAATATCAAAAAGTATAAAAAGCTTTTAATTAATTTAATTAACTTCAAAATATTATTTTCTAATAATAAAATTATTCTAATTATTTAGAAGCTAGTTAGAAAATATAAAAATATTTTAAAGAAAATCAGCAAGATTGTTATTTAATATAGCTATAATTATATCAAAATTATTTAATATAAATATTTTTAGATATATAAAAGGCCAAGTGTGTGTAAGAAAAAAAGATTTATAAGGTATTTCAATTTATTTCAAATATATTCAAATATTTGCAAAACTATTAAATTGATTTGAAAATTTAGAAAACTCTGAAACAGAGCAGGAAGATTAGGAAGAATTGTAGAAGATCTAAAAAAAAACTGAAAAAGAACCAGAAGATAATTATTCTAATAATGTTAAAAAAGTATAAATAGTTTTTAATTAATTTAATTAATTTTGAAATATTATTTTTTAATAATATAAATTATTTTTTTTTGTTAGGTTTTAACAACCGAGACCATTCGGCTTATCATTTTTATTAATTATTTGAATTTTTTAAAGTACATATTATACTACAAAGATTCGTCAAATTACATATTAAGACACCGACTCAGACTACTTTATCTGTGGCCTAAAGTTGGCTATAGTAGGACAGCAGTCCTTTATAGTCTTATTTTTCCAGGTTTTAACCTCGACTAACTGATCCACTATGCCTCTCAATGGCCTAGTCTCTCAGTAAAACCCACCAGAAGTTTGTGACTTGATTTTCACTACGTCTCGTGACGTCAGTTAAACAAATCGTAGGTCCAAACTAACAAGTTCAAACCCCGAGGTTTGAACGCCAGGTCTAAGCCTCAACAGCCTGCTTCATAATCTATCTATATGCCTGCTAAGCCTCTTCATAGAAAATTGTTGTTCGCCGCCAACAGGATTTGAACCAGCGACCTTCTGATTTGCGACCTCAGAGCATAACCGCTATGCTATCAGACCCGAGATCATGATATAAATTATTCTAATTATTTAGAAACCAGTTAGAAAACATAAAAATATTTTAAAGAAATTTGGCAAGGTTTGAATATTTAATATAGGTGTAATTATGTCAAATCTATTTAATATTTATAAATATTTTTTAGATATATAAATGGCCAAAAGTGGGTAAAAAAAAAATATTTATAAGTTATTTTAAATTATTTCAAACATATTTGAATATTTGCAAAACTATTAAATTGATTTAAAATTTAGAAACCTTTGAAATAGAGCAAGAAGATCAGGAAATATTGTCAGAAAATCTGAATGAAGCTGAAATGAGCTAGAAGATAATTATTCTATATCCTTAATAGCTTTCAGTTCCTCATCCTCAGATGATAATAATGATTCAAAAAAAAGAAATAAATAAAAATAATGAGTAAAAGTTTTTGTTTTTTTTTATACAAATAATGCTACATTTTATTTTTTATATATTTTTTTTGGCTTTTTTATATAAGGGGAGTAGGGGTATTATGGCGAATTCGGCATATCTCTTGATCCCGTGATCGGAATTGAACGATTTGTACACCATTCGATTCGTCTCGGTGAGACGAATCGATTGGTGCCAAATTCGTTCATTTCCGACCACTGGATCATGAAATATCGATATTTAAACGAATTTTTACTTAAAAAAAGAAAACAGAACACATACAAAAAAATTTTTGCACTAAATAAATCCATCTTAGCGCGTTAAGTAATTTTGTTCGCAGTAACAAATTCTACCTAAGTTCAAAACTTTTATATAGTTTGATAATCTTTTTCTTAATTTATTTTTACTTCGAATAAATAAAGGTATATAAGCCATATATTAGGTATTATGGCGAAGTAATTATGGTGGAATTAGAAATTTACTCCACGCAAAACAAAAACTTATTTATTTTTTTTATGTATAACAATTCATAACAACTACACATTCCCCTTAATTCTGGTATGTACGTACGTAGGTCCAACAATAAAAACAGGTTCGCGACACGTTAATAAAATGTATCGCGACGCAAAAATTCTTGGATCACGAAAACAAGTTTATTTTCACCAGTAGACATTGAACAACCTTGAACATTTAAATAAATAAATGACATAGTAAACCCGTGTTACTTTATTATTATATAAATTGTTTTTTGTCACTTTTTCGTCACGTTTTCACATTATTGTATTATCTCGTTACATCAAATAAATATGCAAGTTTCTAATACTAACAGACAAGATAAAATTCGTGCTGCACTTGACAAATTAAATGAACATCCTATCGGTTCTAAAGGTCCAAGCTTAAACAGTGTTGCAAAAAGCTTTGGAATTCCAGAAACTACACTTAGACGGGCTAAAGAAAATGGTGGTCCTCTTGGTCGCCCAGGACCATCAACCGTTCTTACTAAACATGAAGAAGATCAACTTGCCGGCTATTGCCTTAATATGCAAAAGCTCGGGTTTGGTCTAACAAAGGAGGNGACCATCAACCGTTCTTACTAAACATGAAGAAGATCAACTTGCCGGCTATTGCCTTAATATGCAAAAGCTCGGGTTTGGTCTAACAAAGGAGGGGGTTAACCATTGTATAATCGAAATTATGCGATTAAATAAACGAAATCATCCATTTGGAAATACGGGACCAAGTTATGATTGGTGGAAGCGTTTCATGAGGGATCACCCTGAGCTTTCAATTCGTACTCCACAAGAATTATCAGAGGCACGCGCACAGCGAGCAAATGCAACAATTGTTAAGGACCATTTTGAAAAACTTAAACAGATTATTCATGAGAATTCACTTACCGCTGCGCAGATTTGGAACATGGACGAAACTGGTTTCGTCATTGTTCCAAAATCTGAAAAAGTAATTGCAAAAAAAGGTGCACGCCAAGTTCATAAAGTTTCGTATGGGAATTCTCATGAACATATCTCATTAGCACCAACAATTTCTGCCGCTGGGTCGTATATTCCGCCTTTGATAATCTATAAGGGTGTTCGCGCAATTCCTGGCTTGTTAGAAGGTGCACCGTCTGGAACTGTAATGGGTTTTACAGATACTGGGTATATGCGCGAAGACCTTTTTCAAATGTACCTTAACCACTTTATCAACTCAGTTCCACCTGCTCGACCTGTTTTGTTAATCCTCGATGGTCATAAAAGCCATATTAACTATACAAGCGTTGATTTTTGCCGAGAAAATAGTATCCTTCTTTACGCGCTTCCACCTCATACAACACACGTTTTGCAACCATCAGAGCTTCCTTTTGCAAAATTAAAAAACGAATATAACAAAGCGTGTAATAAATATTGTATTAATAATAATGGCATGACAGTAACAAAACACACTTTCGCGAAAGTCCTTGGTCCCGCTTTTCTTGAAACCTACACGCCACTTGCCATTTGCAATGCCTATAAAACAACGGGAATATGGCCATTTAATCCCAATGCCATTAGCCCCGACCGTTTGGACGCTTCACTAACAACTGAAAACTTTGTTGACTTATCTTCATGTAGCAACTCTTTCGTCCAACCCATCGAACCAAGCCAACCTTTCGACCAACTTGTCGAATCAAGTTCTGCATCTCAACCAAACCATTTTCATCCTACAAGGTTGAACGTTAATTTGTTAAAAGAAGAAAATAAAATGCTTAAGGAGGAAAATGAATTATTAAAAGCTCAACTTGCGCTAGTAACAGAAGAGCTTGACGTCTACAAAAATCCTGGAACATCTACTTTGCGCTCAGTTCTAAAGTATCCAGTTCGTAATTCACAAGCCAATAACTCTCAGCCAACTTCTGGAAACCAATCTGATCCCGAAAAGCAGTCAGGTTCTCCGTTGCTCCCTCCTAAAAAAAAGAGAAAAACGCTCCCTTTTGCTCGACTTCTTACGAATGAGGAAAGCTGGCGGCAATTGAAAGAAGCGAATGAGAAATCAGAACAGAAGATTGCAGAGACAAAACGAAAAAAAGAGATAACAGCCCAAAAAAAGGCTGCACGAGAACTTGAGCTAGCACAAAAAAAAGAAGAACGTGCTAAAAAAAGTCAAGAAAAGTTAGCAAGGAAAAAAAAATAAGAAAAAAAAATTTTTTTTCTAAATTCGCCACAATACCTCCATAACCTTAAATTTTTTGATTTTGGTACTGTGTACAAAAACGATGATCTTGTACCGATATACAAATCATGCATTCTTATTTTTGTATTAGATTTATTCTATATATGTTGTACTATTAGTGGTTTAAATTTCAAAGTTCTATATTGGGTTAATAAAAAGTTTTCCTTGTAGCATACTTAACTTCGCCATAATACCCCTACTCCCCTTATAACTTTTAAAATTTTATAATTAAGTTATTAGAAATATAGTTTTAAGCTATAAATTTATAGTATTGTTTATTTAAATTATATTGTTATTTGGTTATATAAATTTAGTAAATTTCGCAAATTCAAAATATTTCAAAATATTTTGAAATAATTTAAATAAATAAAATTATTTTAATTGTTATAGCTTTAAATTATTACTATTTTATAATATTTAATTTATAATATACTTACTATAATTTGTTTTATATCTAGTTATTTTAAAATATTGTAAAATATTTATAATATTATGTAATCTTACATAATTTTTTAGAAACACTTCAAAACTTTCAAATTTGTTAATGCAAATAAACTATTTGATTTATTTTATAATGTTTATTATTCTGTTATTATATATGTCAATTTATTTCACAACCTTTCAAAATATTTTAGATTATTTCAAATTTTTTTGCAAAATATTTCACAATATATTTCAAATATTTTGAAATAAATTTTATAATATTTTATAATAATTACATAATATACTGCATTGATCATAAGATTTTTAAAATATTTACAGGCTATAATAACTTATGTAAGATTACATATTAGATATATATAATTCGCTAATGAATATTAGTTATAGTTGTTAATAATAACTTTCAAAATTTAATAGTAGCTGCTGCACTTTTAGAAAATGAAATAAAATCAACATTTATATAGGTTCTCTAAGAATTAAAAAACTCTTGCAATGCTGCTCCAATAGGTTTATATTCTGATGCTAATCTAGCATTAATCATGTTCTATACAATAATTATCCAGAGATATAATATCTTCACTGCATTTTTTATATTAACCTAAACTTAAAAAGAAACTTAAAAGAAAGTTGAAAGATTAGTTTGAATTGTTTTTGTTCTAAATTTTTAATGATGCATAATTCACTTTGATATCATAAAATCCAATGGAGTATATTTATCAATAAATATTCAGATTATAAAAACTATTTTATAAAAACTTTATATCCTTGTAAGAGTAGTTGAGACAGTTATATGATCAATAGAAATTTTATGGCCAGAATTCAAAGCACACAGTAAGTAGAAGTATATAATAAAATAATTAAAGACAAGCTAACCAGATTGTTATGTTTAGCTAAGATCATTGAAAAAGTTCAAAAAGCCTTTAATAACTAGTCTAAAAAAAGCAATTTTAAGTAAATATAAAAATGAAATTCCAATGCAAGAAATGCCAAGTATATTAATAAATACTTTTCCAGATTAGATCAATTTTTGCAAGAGTATTTAATACCACAAATTCTGCAAAAGTAATATGGTCAAATAGTACAATTACTATACTATGATGTATCTATATATAATAATTGGTAATCCTTTCTATAAGTAAGGTTTATTAAGTTAATTAAGAATAAGAAAAATAAAAACTAATATATTATTAATAAACTTTCCTCTGGTATAGGGTTCCTACAAACCCGGATCAAATCAAACTTTAGGTCGGATTTGGGTTTGATTTGATTTGAAATCAAACCCAAACCCAAACTATGATTAAAAAAAATATTTGAGTTTGATTTGAAGCAAACTTTTTAGTTAAATTTGAGTTTGGTTTGAATTTGGGTTTGAAGTTTGCAAACTAGTTTGAGTTTGAATAATATAAATATATTTTTATATTTTAATTGATAATCCGCCTTCAACTGG